TTACCGACACAGATCAGGGAGTGGATTGACAAGTACGGCCTGGGGGTTTCACATTTGCAATAGCGCTGTATTTGTATTGGTTGGAGCATAAGGACTTCCAAAAGGATTTCAGATAGCATGCTTTCCGCAGGTCTAACACACTGTCTGCGGGCCACCTGCGCCAATAATAGCCTGCGGATGTTCCCCTACATTTATGAATCTGACAGCGATATGATGGATTTAAGCCTTAGCTGAGCATCATCAACTATTCTGGAACGCTATGATCACGGACGAGATCCTCCTCAAGGCTCTTTGGTTGTTTATGCGAGAGCGAGGAGTTCACTTAGACTCTCAGGAGTTACTATAGCAACTTGCCAATTACATCCACTTTGACTTTGGGGAATAATAAACAGTGGAAAGTGGAGGCTTCAGGTGAATTCTGTCATGAAAGTGTTACATAAAAACATCATTGCCAAAATTTTGTTAATGACATCATTAACAAAATCTGGATCAAGAAAGTGATAGAATACAGTTTTTACGGGTCTCATTTCCAAGCTTTAGTGAAAATCAACTTTTTTAAGGTATGGTATATTTACAAAAAAAAGTAAATCATGTCTCTTTTTAAATATACAAAATAATGAGTCCAGTTTGTTTTGATCAAAAAAATGCAGGCAGAACGAGATCTCTTTCGGCTAGTTAAGAGTGATGCAGAGAATGTCCATTTAATGAACAATACTGTCAAGAGACTCCCCTAAAACAGCTCTTTGTAGTCATACAAGAAAGCCACCTTGGGCTGTGTCAGTGTTTCCCACACATAGACTAATCTGTGGCGCACCGCCACAGATTAGAGACCGCCCGCCACAAATTGCGTTTCGTATTATTATATATATATTTTTTTTGTTACGCTATTTAAAACATGCATCGTCTAGTGCCGCCGCAGCGGTCAATTTGACAGCGGGGAGGGGGGTTTAAAATGTGGCGGCCCTTCGTAACTCTCACTCAAGCTACGCGTCTCTCCCACATACAGAGACCTACACACACACAGCCCCTCCCCTTCGTGCACACCGCGTGTCTCCGTCTCCATCAGCGATCATCGCTGTAAGCAGCTGTGTCTATTAATTTACAGCGGGAAAGTGGCCCGCATCTTTCAGCTCTATGAACATGCGGCCCGCATCGGGGAAAAGACGGTGCGCGTTTTGTTGAGAACTTACGGTAACAGCGGAACGTCCTTTCGGAGTCACCCATTTTTATCGAACAGAAAGCGCGCTGGGGTCAGGGAGACACGTTTTTGTGATTAAAACCTTATAGAGATGCCACCCGGCACACATAGCACCAGCCCCCTACGATTCCTCCGGCAGATTGTGAGTCCTCAGGAGGATAGCCACTCTATTGTTTACATGTATAAAGTACACAATTTGGTCCGCTAGTGCAATTTTCAAGTATTGTAACTATTTACTGGAATAAGGTGTGCGACTAATTTCACTTGACTCATGACCTTATTATTGCCCTCTGCCACTGTACCAAAGACCAGAAACTTTTACTGTAGAAATATTGAGAAATATTGAGGTAAAGTAGCCATTTTGGTCCAAAATACCTCCAAAATAGTCAAAACATGTCACTTTTGATCTACTGTAACTTTTTACTGTAAAAAGGTGTGCGACTAATTTCACTGGATTCATGACCTCAAGATTGTCCTCTACCACTGTACCAAAACCAGACACTTTTACTGTAGAAATATTGATTTAAAGTAGCCATTTTGGTCCAAAATAGCCTAAAAATGGTCAAAACATGTCACATTTGATCTACTGTAACTTTTCACTGTAAAAAGGTGTGCAACTGATTTCACTGGATTCATGACCTCAACATTGCCTTCTACCACTGTACCAAAGACCAGACACTTTTACTGTAGAAATATTGAGAAATATTGAGGTAAAGTAGCCATTTTGGTCCAAAATACCTCCAAAATAGTCAAAACATGTCACTTTTGATCTACTGTAACTTATTACTGTAAAAAGGTGTGCGACTACCCCCCGCCGACGACCACCACACATTGCCTTCAAACCTGTGGGAAACACTGTGTGTATTAACCATATTCAGTCTAAACACACTCAAGGACTTATATGGGCTTTGGGAGCCTTACAATAGGCAATTGCAGGGTCATACTGCAGTATTTCAATCATGTTCTTTAAGGAAGGGGAAACACTGGGGAACTACTTCAGCCAGAACTAAAAACACAGACATCTTAATAAAAATAGTCAATGTCTATTGCAGCTAAACCCACATCTATCCAGAACTCCCGAGGACACATTGAGTGCGGCCTAAACAAAATCATTTCTATTAAGTGAACGCGATCCAATGTAGCTTTTTGTGACTCACCATTTTATTTAGTATGCCAAAAACTTTCTTCAGTCAGACTCCTTTCTAATTAGACCATCTTTGTGGTGTGCGCAGCTTCAGCTAATGGCTAAATGCAGTCTAATTACTACTTAATCACAGGACAAAACATCTCAGAGATTAACAGCAGGTTAGAATACCATGTATGTGTTTGGGAAACAACCATTTGCCCTCATTCTACTTCACTTATATGCATTTCACAACAAGCGCACTAAATAAATGTGCGTCCTAATTAAGAGGCCTTTTCGAATGAACACCCACAAACACTCACCCATCACTGGAGTCACATTCCAGCTTCTGTCACTTTATTATTCAGTGAATGAAGCTCTGCAAGCTACATTTGAGTGGGTAAACATATCAAGCTAATTAGATATAGAGGCAGAGGAAGAGTTTTAAATAATCTTCTATTTGCACGACAGAAGCTTGTGGAAGTGCAATCTGAGTTAAGCTGTGAGTGGAAATTTAAAAAGGTAATATCAAATGGTATTAATAGTTTGACCAAAAATTAACAATTACCCTAATAATCGATTAGTTGGCCAGTCATTTTTTCAGTTAAAACAAAAACTGAAAATCAAGAAGAAAACAAGGAGGAAACGGGCCGAGGCCCTCTGACGTTTCATACTTAATAATTACAATTTCCTTACAGAATTATCAGAAGCATAAAACATTTTCTCAGCATGTTTAAGTCCATGTATGGTTCAAAAAACAATCAATTAACACTATACTGACTTTCAATAATCAGTCCCGGCTCAGTACAAGTCTTGGTTTCCAGTACTCCAGATGTACAACGTAGTGTACAAGTATAAAATAATTTCAAAAGGCAGTTCTGCAAATTAGTTTAAACGTTAGACTTTAAATAGATTATTAAAGCGAAAGAGCCAGATTTCCAAAGGCACCTCTTGTACTAATCCCAGTCTATGCCTCTGGTGTATAAACGTTTGGATTACAGCGCTAACCACTGCTTGTTCTAAAATTATCCAAATTCGAGGCCGATGGCAAAGCCAGAAGGTCGTTTGAAAGACTTGCGCCTGTGTGAAGGCTTCTCCAATGATCCTCAAAGACGTTCAGTACAGTGAACCTGCAAGCTGCAAACACAAGCTGCTGCTTGTGAAAAGAGAAGCTGTGCTTATCGCGTCAATGCAGATGTGCTGCCACACATCTGGAAGCATGCAATCAAAAGCAGCAGTTTGACTTAAACAACTTAGCTATTGAAACACATTTTGGTCATGTTTTGTTTTGAATGGTTACAACATCATGTTCGTCACTTAATTTCTCAGTGAAGGCAGGCTTAATGTTAAAGTATAAATATATATTCTGTCTCTCATAGTTGAGGTTTACCTATGATGAAAATTACAGGCCTCCCTCATCTCTATGAGTGGGAGAACTTGCACAAATCGTGGCTGACTGAATGCCTTTTTGTCCTACTGTAAATGTAAGTGGACACTAAACTGACCGTACTAGACCAGATCATGCATTGCGGCAACTTTTAATGCAAAGTCAATGATGACGTCGGTCCGTGAAATTGCTCACACGCACGGACTGCGCAGCACAGGCGGTGTTGCGGCAACTCGACGCAGCCAGGACATTGCTGAACTTTTTCTGCCGGCCACACGTGCAGCGACCAGAGAACTGCAAAGTGATCACGGGGACACTAGCGGTCAGAGCGAGCAGACTGAAGATACTTGTAAACAGCCAAAACAGGAGCTAAACCAGGACTAAACCAGGACTAAACCAGGACTAAACTAGGACTAAACCAGGATAGACAATGGGGGACACAGTGCTTGTGAACATATGTCTCCAGCCTGAGTTCTCGTTCTCCCTTGACTGTGAACAAGTGCTGCTAACGTGTTCGTCGATGCGGAAGTACCCTTTAATAATAAAATAAACGTATGGTGCTCCTCCGTGAACACACACCACTGTTATATGAAGTTTCTGGAAGGTGTCTGGACACTGAAACGCTGCATTCGTGGAGACGAACTTTATAGAAAAAAGGCGCTAGCTTAACTCCGGTAGAGTCAAAGCCCGCCCGCCACTTCAGCCATACTTTCACTGTGCGCAAAAACATTCACGCGTCTTTATGACCAGGTTTTAGTAACACAGATTTAATTGCTAATACAAACATTTTATTCGGATCATTATGAGGCATGGACACCTGCTGGCATAGAATATGTGTCAAAAGGAATAAAGGCGGGAAAAATAATGTTTATTATGTGATTCCACTCAACTTTCTTAACATCCTGTAGTGATCTAATATCCAGCATATAGTGTATCCTTTATTTACAAAAACACTAGACACTCTGCAGAGACACGGAAAAAATAGCATCCAGTGGACATGCATGAAATACTTTTCAAAACTATTATAAATCAGAAACACCAAATATGAATACTCAAAGATAGGTGGCTATTAATTACTGTAACCATTTACAGCCATCTTCACCTCTACGCTGTCATTTTTCCGAGGTGAGGGCCATTTTTTTTGCTGAGGAGTATGTGTCTTCTTCTATTTATTTTCATACAAGAAAGCCAGGACAGAGCACTAATGCTATTGAGGTTCTACTATTCTGGGAAGCCCAATAAGCGGCTTTGGGGCCTTAGTGAAACAAACAAAGGAAAATGTTTTAGTATACCTTGCGTCCATCGCTTGCATGGCAGTTGACGTTCAGTGGAGTGAGCAAGGCCATTAGCTTCTCTTCGTTTCCGCTCCTGCAAAGACACAGAAATATGTTTGAGTAACTGCACTGGAGGATTAGCAGTCCCCCCCAAGAAATAAATGTGAGACCAGGGGTATGCAAAAGAAGAGAGCTGAGGAAGTTCATTTGAAGTTTCACATTTTATTTTTATTTGCCATTTGCAGAAAAACCACATTGGAAAAAAACTGTCCAAGACCCCAGTGTGCACCACACAGAGAAGAGAGCACACACCAAAGCTCCTGCTACATCAAAGCAACAGCATCTACTGTATCTGGAGGTGGAAAAAGATCATTGGTCAATGGACAATGATTGTACAATGAAAAGGTAAAACCACACCATGGGGAACATTCTCTGGTAAAATATATTGTCACATTTTGGATACATCCAAAATAAAAAATAAGAAAACAGCCGGAGGCCAACCTCCAGGTTTAGGAGTAAGTACTGGTTTTAATATGATCTTAATATGAACTACAGCTATTTGGTAATTAATATTGTATTATTATCATTATGTGCTTATTTGTGTATGTGCTTATGTTGATATATTTGATCATGCATTTTATATTTGTGCAGATTTGAAATAAATACTGAGGCACAAAGCCCCTTAGGGGACCATCTTCTTGCGGATGCAAAATTGTCCATGTCCTTCCCTCTTCAGAACTCAGATCCAATCGTTTCAATCTGCAAAAGGAGTTCACCTCTCCACACCACATCCAAGAGCTGTTTGCCCTATGATTCTGTCTGTTATTCCTATTGATTATTATTCTATCAATAGAATTATCTGATCAGAATTTGAACATATGTGACTCGACTCAGATTATCTGTGCTTAAAATGCACATAAGCAACTTTAAAGCTGGACTGACTCACTTTGTAACTCTGAAGCAGCAGTTTCAAATGTCAGCGTTGCCCTCGTTCTTTCTGCTCTCCTCCCCGCACTCACGGAGCTTTCGCTCCCCACTCCCGCCCTCCCACTCATGCGCGTGCTCGTGTTTACGGAGCTGGATATGTCTTGTTTTGGCCCAAAAACAAATGGAAATGTCGCAGGCATTTTTTTCCCTCATTTGATAGCATTCCCCAGTGCTAAATTAGTCTTGTTCGCTTCCCGCGGGCCTCTCTCCCGGTCCTTCAAACGCTGGGCCTCTCTCCCGGTCCTTCAAACGCTGGGCCTCTCTCCCGGTCCTTCAAACGCTGGGCCTCTCTCCCGGTCCTTCAAACGCTGGGCCTCTCTCCGTTCTTGTAGGGACTTTCTTTTGGATGGCTGTTTTGCTGTATAAGCAGTAACCGGTCACGGAGACAGGAAGTTTCAGGTATGCCTCAGTCATGATGCTCGTTCACCTCAGCTGTCTGTGCGCAGAGAGAGACCTGCAGATTTTCTCACGAAAGTGTGGGCCAGTGATCCGCTGTAATTGGTCCCAATCTGGTCCCAAAATAAATTCTCTTCTGCGAATATTCGATCCAAAGTAAAATTACACTCCAGTGCAAACCAGCGCTAAAGGACGTATATCCCAATGCACTGCATGGATATGGATTGAATTTTCCTAATGAATACAAAAATAAAGGGAGGTAATCCAGCTTAAATATGTGTACAAAACTAGTATAAACTTCCAAATGAACAGTGTATTCCTGCTTCCACGTTGCTGTTTGCTGGGCCCTCGGGACTAATGACACAGTCCAAAACAAAAAGAGAACAGGTTGGAGTGTTCTAGTCCAGTGTTTCCACTATTTTTTTGCAGAGCTTGTTATCTTCAATAGACACACAGACACACACTTATCTATATATGTAACGTACTAATTGAAAATAATTAGCGTCTTTCCACAAGCTGTTAAACAAACAAAGCACTTTAATGATCTTGCACTTGTATTGAAACCGTTGTTGTTGATTGATTTCCCAGTGTCAATCGTCTCCTGCACTTTTTTGGTTTGTATAATTCCTCCATTTTGTATATTGTTTTATTTATGTACTTGACTCCTGCACAATGGGGGCTTATGCAAATGTATTCCAATATAGTTTTACTGCTAATGGAAAATAAAATGAATCTGAATCTTATTTGATGGCTAGGGAAGCCGAGGCTTAGTTGAGAGATCTTGTTCAACCCTACAAAATATGACCCACATAAGCAGTGGGGCAAAGTTCATGAATGTTTCATCTTCAATGCCTTGTGTAGTTTTTACTGCGGTCTAGTGTTGAGATCATACATTGCACTCCAGGGTACTAGGGAAGCCTTCGAAAGACTATATGTCGTTTTTTACAGTGTTCCTCAACTCTCAGTCATTCACCAGACTGCCAAGGAAAGAATCCTTTAGATCTCTCCATACGTCTCGGCCACTTGACAGTCGCGTGGAGGCGACATGTAAACAAGACCGCGTTCTGAAGCGGCACCAGCTGCACAGAGGCTGCACTGAGTTTAACCATGAATCTATTGTAATATATAGTTTACAAACATGGAGAAGAGAAGGCTTAAAGTGATAGTCTGGAACTCTAAATGAATTGCGAATGTTAAGAATTGTATTAAATTGACCTCCTGGCCTTAAATGTTGATAAGGCATTTTATGAATTATAATAAGACGGGTAAGTCCTGCCTTCCCCTACTCTTAGCTATAGCTCAAAATCCACGATGCCGTCCATTTTAACCAATCAAGTGATGCCAAGGGCTGTCAATCTTCACGAGCGCACTCGTAGCTGCGCACATGCACAGTTGTTTGTTTTCACAGAGCCTCCGAATCAAGCCTCCACCAGGCTCTGGAACTACATGAAAATTGATCAAAGAATTCAGCGGTGAGTGACCCAAATATAAACTCAACCTACAGTATATCCATAATCAGATCCTCTGCAAATGTGTCCTAAAATGTTCAATTCATGATAATAGTTACTTCTGGGTTTACCGCGAATGCATTAAAAAAGCCATTTTGTCATGAAAACTTTAACAGATAATTCTGAAAACCTCTGTGCATGTGTGTTATGAATGTTTATGTATAATGTATTCTTCAATTAAAATTTCTAATGTATTGATTAGAGGTGCACCGATCGATCGGTAGCCGATTATAATCGGCCGATCACGGCTTAATTTGCGTGATCGGTGAAAAGTGCCGATCACAAAGACCGATCAGATGACATGAGGATACATGCGCACAAGTTACTTTCTCTCGTCAAAAATGCGTAAACAACCAACTCATGCAGCTATCAGTAACGGAGATTCTACAGCGGCAACAACCACACAGTGATGACTTAAGAAACAACACGAAATATGCACGAAAGTTATGGAATTTATTCCCCTCTGCCACCAGCGCTCGTCTGTTGCGGAAAGCGCTGAGTTCAAACATCTCATGTCCACTGCTTCCATCTGCCATCGCAGAGATATCTGACTGATGTCTGCCTGCCGCAGCTTTACCAAACTGTATATCCTCACATTGACACTCCAAGCCCAGCCAGAGCATGGATCTATTATAATAACGAGCCAGAGTCACACCGCGCAGGCACAGCACACACACCGAACACACTCAGCAGCGAGGCGCAGCCGTCAGGCAGAAACACCCCGTGTCAGGAGTTTGCATGTTATGTTCACAGAAATACTGAATTAAGATGAGTGTAGTGGTAGTACAGACAGCCCTACAGTGTCGCAGATTTAGCGTTACTTACTACGTAGTTGCGCATCGCAGCGGACAGCCGCTTGTTTATTGGAAGGAAAATAAAAGCCGCTTCCCTCCTTTGGCCAAAGCAGTGTCTTTCCTCTGCTCCATGCACAAGTGCAGACAGTGAGATTTTAGCGCAGCAGGACTATTCAGGATGATTAACGTAATAAACCTCTGCAAATGCTGAGATGCTAATATTCCTGACGAAAAAACATTGCCTTAACTATCTCTTTTCAGTATTGCTGTGTTTTCATTGCATTTTTTTTTTTATGTATCTCAATGCTCTGTAACGTATACTTGTGGTTCCCAACCTTTTTGTCTTGAGTACCCTTTTATCTATACTACCTAGTACCTTGATGGTTTTGAAAGTTTAGTTATAAAGTGAATAACTAGTCCTATTCATTTCATATCAGTATTATTTTCAATATTTTATCGGATCGGCAATGATCTGTATCGGCCAATCAAAATTTTTATGATCGGTGATCGGCCAAAAAATCCTGATCAGTGCACCTATAGTATTGATTGATTGTTTTGGATTATTGAGCGTGGCTAGCTCCGATAGCTTCTCTCTCAGAGACAGTAGTGGTTCATGACAGGCACTGAAAGCCCGTTGTGACGAAGTGTACGAACTGAAGTTTGTACACGGAGAAATCTTATTATTCTACACACCTAAATTACAAGCACAGATTACGTTGCCATGGGCAGAGCTCATTATTGATTTGAGAGGTATAAAAATTATTATCAAGAAATAATGATTGGTAGAACTTTTTAAAATTACATTCAAATCAATGGAGCGTTCTACTGCTGCTGTGAGGAACTGTATCAGAAATTATGATAAAATACTCTATTATATTTTAATATTTAAATTATCATCTCTCCTCGCACGTCTTGGACCATTGACCTGGTGCGTGCACAGAAAAAAAGGCGTAGATCAATCAGAAAGGAAGGGTGAGGGAGCTTGGGTTGTTTTTGTTCATATCATGTACCTCTCTCTCTTTTTTCAGACAAACTCTAGACTATCACTTAAATGTCTGCGGGAGCTTAAAACTACGATGATCAGAGAAGCAGGACATATGCACAGCCGCGGCAGAACATGGCTAAATGCTCATGTTATTAATAGAATTAGCCACAGCGCTGCATTACGGTAAGAAAACACAACATTCACTCATGCTGCTGATAAAGTATTCTGCCGATTGTTTTGTGGGGATTCTGTGTGTTTTATTTAAGGCTTGTCCCTGAGTAAATTTAGTTGAAACTTGTGATCGTAGTTGGACTGTACTCGGATCGGGTCAGAAACCTGAGACTGTGTTGCAGATTCTGCCTCGTTCTCATTATTGTCAGTGTGAGTCTGTTGTGCCTACTATTGTGTTAACTGTCTTTCGGTT